CTCATCCTAGTGCATGACCTCTGGAAGCTCATCTTGTCGGGTTATTCAGGAGTCACTGCCGTTGTGCTCGCCCATCCATAGTAAAACCTCAACGTCTGTTTCTTTCCTTTTGCATCAGGACGCAATGACAAGGCCCTTCAGACTAACCGGCTCATGGGTTCAATCCCATTGGCTCACTACGTCTTCTGAAATACCTGTAAGGCTCCTCTCTTGCTGCATGTGCATGCCGTTACGAATCGGCGGCACAACAAGCCCGGTCGGCAGCTCACCCGGCTCGTGGCTCGTCCGTCGTGGCCGAGTTAATTGAGCCAGTACGAGCTGGCTCCTACTTTTATGAGCTGACGGATACTCCTGGATGAACAATGCTCGTCGTCACCATCTCTAGAATCCGTGCACATCTGACCTCTACCCGCCAGATCCGCATGGACGCGGGTAATATTCCTACTCCTTACTAGTTGACATTTTTTTTTTAAGTCGTACACAGGTAGGCAAATGCTAAGTACCATTTATGTCAGCCAATACCACGTTACTTGAAATATGTCCTCACGCATGCTGAACACATCAGCCAGCTAGATTGGTAATGTAGAAAATTATGTCCAGTTGTTATGTACAATTAGGGATGAGGAAATTTCCTAACCTGGGCCTATTCTTTGCCATCCAGTTCTCAACAATCCCGTTGGGTTGGGATCTCGACTTCTACCCATTAAAAACTTTTATGTGACCGCTTGACGATGCATACGGGCCCCAATTCAGGTCAAGAAGAATGCTAGGTTTCATTTTTCACGTTTCCCAAGTCAAGCTGCTATCTCCTTACTGCCCAAGATTCAGGACTCTCACCAATCTGCCCTCGGGAAGAAAGGCATTGGACTGCACGTGGATATTACGTGTGAAGACCGATGCGGAGGGGAAGTTGGAGAGGCGCAAAACAAGGCTTGTGATCAAGGGCTTCCAGCAGAGGGAGGGGGTTGACTTTCAAGAAGTGTTTACTCCTGTTGCCAAGGCTCCGCTTCGGGTGTTGCTAGCAGCTGTTGTCGTTTGTGGTTGGAAGGTAGAGCAAATGGATGTGAAGACGGCGTTTTTCTATGGCGTGGTAGATGAGGAGATCTACATGAAGCAGCCAGAGGGGTACGACGATGGGAGCGGACGTGTTTGCAGGCTCAACAAGGCCATCTATGGCCTCAAACAAGCTCCAAGGTGCTGGTATGCAAGGCTGGTGGAGGCGTTGGAGGCTCTTGGCTTCAAAGTTAGCGGGTGCGACGAGAGTCTCTTCATGACCGAGGGGGAGGAGGAGAAGGTGTTTCTCCTTGTCTACGTCGATGACATCCTCCTCTTCTCTCCATCCCTGGAGAGGATCAAGGAGGTGCAAGGGAAGCTGAAGGAGACCTTTCAATGCAAGGCCCTTGGACCAGTGGGGTATTACCTTGGTCTTCATGTGGAGCGCGACGAGGTGAACTGATCGATGACGCTTCACCAACACAAGTACCTTGCAGCCATGGGGGAGAGGTATGGGCTGGAGGAAGGGAGGAGTGTGAAGACTCCTCTACCCTCAGGGTTTCAGCTACACCTTGATGAAGAGGAGGGTGAGGTGTTGGAGCCCGAGTTGCAGCGTCGGTTCCAGTCAATGGTGGGGAGCTTGATGTATGCTTCGGTCAACACTCGCCCCGATATTGCGTTCTCGGTTTCGCAGCTGGCTCGTGTGGTGTCTAGGCCCCTTCAAGAGCACCTTGATGCAGCAGAGAGGCTGGTGAGGTACTGTATGACAACCTCAAGGGTGGGGCTGCAATATTCAGTGCATGGGCAGCTGAAGCAAAAGGGAGTGGAGGAGGTGAGCACGAAGACCGGTGCACCTGCAAGGCGTGGATGCTTGTACCTCTCGTGCTTCACCGATGCTACCTGGGCAAGTGACATCAGTGATGCAACATCCCATGGTGGCTATGTATGCTGTGTTGGAGGGAGTCCAGTAATCTGGAAGTCTAAGAAGCAAGGGGAGATAGCTCACTCATCAACGGAGAGCGAGTACATGGCGTTGTTTCATGGGGTGAAGGAGGTGGTTTGCATTAGAGTTGTGCCACCTTGTGTGGCATGTCCTTCAACTAAGGGAGGCAGCTTCAGGGAGCAGCTAAGGGATGAATGAGAGCACGATGAGGGGGAGTTTGTTGTGCCAACACACTAGTGGCACGGTCATCGCACTCCCATTCAGCCTACAAGCCTGCTCAGCTACAGTTTCTTCAACTTGTCTTCATCAAACTCTCAAAGTTTCAGATTTTCTTAAGCAGTTTACAAGGCATGACAATATTTTTAAGTTTCAAGACTTATGGCGTTCCGGAAGTGTGTGTTACTCTTTTTTGGTAACACCCGAGTTCACCATTTCGGCTGCTGACTCGTCTAACGAGCTCTGATTGTTCTGAAAATTGGTGTGGAAGTCCTTTGCCGCGTTGTGCAGGTGATCACCAAGTTTCATGACAACCTAGTATCGGAGCAGCGGGTGACATCTGTCGAAAGTCACTGTTCCGTAGTCATGGTGCACTGTTGGCAGCATTTCCCTTGTCACCCTTTCATTGTTGTCATGCCAATGGTGCAGGGACAGAGAATGAGACAAGAAGTACAGGTGGTCAAGTGGGACTCTACCACCCTCCTTTTGAGAAGTGTGGTCTTCCTGGAAGCAGCTTGCAAGAGGGTGCAAGTAGGAAGATGAGCTGACTCATGGTCGGCTTGACTCACTATTGGTAGCCTTGAGTACACCTTTGAACATCCAAATGTGGTTGGCTTTGCTGACCTAGATAGGACGTTTTCCATCCTTCTCTAGACTTTCTCTCCTAGGACTCAACCTTCTATGAGTTCCCAGGATGACCCCAACCCCTTAAAACCCGAAGCCAGAATTACAAAGCTGAGTCAACGCTAGGTTTGGGGGTCCCAGAACTGTGGTTCGGAAGGGATGCGAAAACAGCCCGTTGGCGAAAAAGTGATGCGACACTCGAGAATTCCAACCTGAGCGAGCTGGGGAAGAGTGAAAGGCTCGTGCGACTGAATAACCACCCATTTGCTTCTGTATAGGGTTCCGAGCATTGAGATACCAGCCAGGCAGATTAGCGGACTACCATGACATACGACCATGTAGTAAGCGCGACGCGGGGACACAATCGAGTAGTGACGCGTGCGCGGAAATGCGAATGTGCAGCGCGTAGAAAAGGACGGAGAAGAGAATAAGAATAAATAGCAACATCATACGTCGACCTCGCAATCCCTCCTCCGCTCAAACCGAGGGTCTCTAGAGTTTACAGAACTTCACCAACCATCGCACCGCACCGTCGACCTTGCTACATTTCCTGTCTCATCACTTCCCGTCGGCCATAAACCCGTGCATGTCGCATTCGTAGCATCAGCCCCCACTTTCCCCTTCCCGTCGTCACCACTTCCTTTCCCTTCGCCATCGCTTTTCCTTCCCGTCGTCCCCGCTTCCCCTTCGCGTCGCCCCCGCTTCCCCTTCCTGTCGCCCCTGCTTCCCCTTCCCGTAGTCCCTGCTTCCTCTTCACGTCGTCCCCCCTTCCCCTTCCCGCCGTCCCCCCTTCTCCTTCCCGTCGTCCTTCCTTCCCCTTCCCGTCGTCCTTCCTTCCCCTTCCCGTCGTCCCCCCACCCCCTTCCCGTCGTCCCCCCTTCTCCTTCCCGTCGTCCTTCCTTCCCCTTTCCGTCGTCCTTCCTTCCCCTTCCCGTCGTCCCCCCACCCCCTTCCCGACGAAGGGAGTAAGGAGGACAGGAGAGACAGCTGAATTGAAAGGGATGTGGGGAGGAAGGGAGGATGGGAGAAAGAGGGAAATTCAGGAAATGAAGGATGTGAGGCAGGGCCGAAGAGGGAAATTGATGAAGGGACAAAGTGGAAGGAATGGAGGAAGTGATGAAGGGAGGAAGGGCTGTAAGGAGGACGGGGAGGTGGGTGGAAGGGGGTTTGGGGGGAAAAGAAGGAGGAGGAAGGGTGGAAGGAAGTGAGTATGGGAGGAAAGGAGGAAGGGAGGCAGGGCAGGAAATGGATGGATGAAGGGAAAAAAAGAGGAAGGCAAGGATGGACGAAGGGAAGAATAGAGGAATGCATGCGAGAAGGAAAAAGGGATGGGAGTTCATCCCGAAAACGAAGGATGTGAGGGAGGGCGGAAGGGAGGAATGCAGGAAGAGTGGGAGTGATGAAGGGAGGAAGAGAGGTTGGAAGGACGGGGGAAAAGGACCCCCGCAGCACCACGTAGGCCTCTGCTGGGCGAGGATGGGGTGAGGAGGAGATGGGGTGAGGAGGAGATGGGGTGAGGAGGAGATGGGGTGAGGAGGAGATGGGGTGAGGAGGATATGGGGTGAGGAGGATATGGGGTGAGGAGGAAAGGAGGATGGGGTGAGGAGGACGGATGGGGTGAAGAGGGGATGGGGTGAGGAGGAGATGGGGTGAGGAGGAGATGGGGCGAGGAGGAGATGGGGAGAGGAGGAGATGGGGTGAGGAGGAGATGGGGTGAGGAGGAAATGGGGTGAGGAGGACGGATGGGGTGAGGAGGAGATGGGGTGAGGAGGAGATGGGGTGAGGAGGAGATGGGTTGAGGAGGAAATGGGGTGAGGAGGACGGATGGGGTGAGGAGGAGATGGGGTGAGGAGGAGATGGGGTGAGGAGGAGATGGGGTGAGGAGGAGATGGGGTGAGGAGGAGATGGGGTGAGGAGGAGATGGGGTGAGGAGGAAATGGGGTGAGGAGGAAATGGGGTGAGGAGGACGGATGGGTTCAAGCACGGATGGGGAAAGGACGGGTGGGGAGAGGATGGATGCTCCAAGGTGAGGAGAGATGGGGTGGGAAGAGGAGGGGATAGAGAGAGGGCGGGAGGCAGAATGGGGTGAGGCGGAAGGGGGAACGCCGGGTGAGGCGGATTGGTGAGCTGGGCGACGGAAAGAGAGTTTGCGTGGGCGACGGGAGTGAGGGAGTGAGAGTGGACGACAGGGGGATTGCACGTCACGGTTGGTGGGGTTGGGAAGATGAGGCACGGAGTGGGTAGGCATGGGGAGGTGAGGGACGGGGAGGCGAGGGACGGGGAGATGAGAGACTGGGAGGTGAGGGATGGGGAGGGAAGGGATGGGGAGGCGGGGATGGGGCGAGGCGGAATGGGGCGAGGCGGAATGGGGTGAGGCGGAATGGGGTGAGGCGGAATGGGGTGAGGCGGAATAGGGCGAGGCGGAATGGGGCGAGGCGGAATGGGGAGATGAGGGATGGGGAGATTTAGGATGGGGAGATGCGGGATGGGGAGATGAGGGATGGGGAGGAGAGGGATGGGGAGGGAAGAGATGGGGAGGCGGGGATGGGGTGAGGTTGAATGGGGTGAGGCGGAATGGCGTGGGGCGGAATGGGGTGGGGCGGAATGGGCCGAGGCGGAATGGGGGGGGGAGGGGAAATGGGGCGAGGCGGAATGGGTGAGGCGGAATGGGTGAGGCGGAATGGGTGAGGCGGAATGGGTGAGGCGGAATGGGTGAGGTGGAATGGGTGAGGCGGAATGGGTGAGGCGGAGATGGTGCCTCTCACGACGTCGCGGCACCCCCGACTCAGCTCGACGCTGAGCCCGTGACAGCGGTGTTGCGGCAGGTAGTACGCCCACTCGCCTCTGCCCCGCGACAACCCCGTCCCTGGTGGCATGGGATGGGGTGGTGTTGACGGGGGAGAGGCGGGGATGGTGACAGGGAGAGGGGGACTCAGGGCGGCTTTCCGCATCATTTACCCCAACACGCAGGGATGGGTCGGTGAGGGATGGGGAGGTGAGGGATGGGGAGGTGAGGGATGGGGAGGTGAGGGATGGGGAGGTGAGGGATGGGGAGATGCGGGATGGGGAGATGAGGGATGGGGAGATGAGGGATGGGGAGATGAGGGATGGGGAGGTGAGGGATGGGGAGGGAAGGGATGGGGAGGGAGCATAGGCGACGGAGGGGAATGAGAGAAGGCGAGGGGCAGGGGGATTCGCATGGGCGACGGAGGGAAGTGCGCGTGTGCGGAGTACGGGCAGTGAGCGTGGGCGACGGATGGGGGGGGAGCGTGCGCGTCGGGGAGGGGAGAGCGTGGGCGACGAGATGGAATCGTGTGGCGGAGCGAGGAGGAGTGATGGTCACCCCTCAAGGGGAGTGAGCGTGTGCGACGGAGGGGACCATCGCGACAGGTGGGGAGTGAGAGAACGCGGTGAGAGGGAGAGAGCGTGGACGGCGGACGGGACGTATTCGCGCGCGACGGGAGGGAGTGCTCGCGAATACAAAGCTGCGGGGAGGAGGAGATGGGGTGAGGCGGAGATGCGGGAGGCAGTGTGCGACGAGAAGGAATAGACGGTGTGCGACGCAATGGGGGTGAGCGTGTGCGCCGGAAGGATTGCGGGAAGGCGATGGAATGGGAGTGAGCGTGGGCGACAGGAATGGGAGAGTGTGAGTGACGAAAGTGATTGATCGTGGGCGACGGTACGATTGCGCGAATGCGATGGGTAGGGAGTGAGCGTGGGCGACGGGAAGGGAGTAACACGGGCGACGGTAGGGATTGAGATTGGGCAACGCAACGATTGCGCGACGGCGATGGAATGGGAGTGAGCGTGGACGACGGGAAGGGAGTTAGCGCGGGCGACGGTAGTGATTGAGAGCTCCCGACGGAACGATTGCGCGAAGGCGATGGCCAGGGAGTGACCGTGGGCTTGTGAGGTCTTGAGCGTGGGCAACTTGCTGGAGTGCGTGTGGGCGACGGAAGGGAGTGCGGGTGGGTGCGTGCGCGTGGGCCCGTGGCTAGCTATGTCGAGTGAAAGAGGGGATTCGAATCGCTGAAAGTTATATTATTTCTGATTGGACAGAATGGAGTACTTGTCCTAAAGTGTAAGGCGGAAACAAGAGGCCTGGAACAGGAATGGGGTTCGAGCCTAGCCGTTCAAAGCTATGGCTGCTGCTCTACCTGATCGGACTAAGCCATTTCAGACGACCTGAATTACAGGTTTCCAGTTCGGTGTGCACACCAATGCCAAGAGTGGTTGCGCGACACTTCCCTGAGCTGCCTGCGACTGCATCACGTTTTGCTGGTGAACAACTGGTAACCACCCTGGTTAGGGAGGGAAAGTGTTAAAGCCGGCAGCCCAAATTGCACAAGTTTTAAAAGGTTGACGCGAGGGGGTTTTTGTGGTGAGGGTTTTGGCGAAAGATTCGCTTTTTTCGTTTTTTTTGCCAAACCCAGCCCGCCCTCGTATTTCGCCCTGGGGGTTGGTTCAGTTCCCAAAAGTCCCAAATTGCAGGCACGCTTTTCTTCAAACCTTGAAAACACTAGTTCGTCAAGTTTTAAAAGCTTGACCCGCGCGGCCCGCAATTTGGGACTCGGGCTTTAACACCTCCCAACTTTTTTTGTAATTCAGGCTGCGGGTTTTAAGAGTCCCCTAGGCAATGTTGTACTCACCTCTTCCTTGCATCAATGAAACTACTCGTTTTCAGCCGAGCTTACGTTTTCGTTCACTGCGTAGTGCATACACCTCTGATGAGAACAAGCAATATACCGTTTCAAAGAAGTTCCCATCTTCTACATACAATTACAATGACAATCTCGAGTCCGCCATGGCTGATCCCGACGCCTTCACACATGTCAATGTCTATCAATTTCTTAGCTTTTGTTAATTTGGAGCCTAGAATCGTACTCCTTAAGACTTTAGGAATCCGATGGTACACTTTTGGTGTTCACTACGCGAACATTTACCATTCGGCCTTATTGTCAGGCACTTTCCAGGTCCTACTTAACAATGGTTTCTGGTGGACGCGCGAAGGTTTCAGGGAGCCTGAAATGGCTATTATCAAGGGAACAATGCTCGTGGCGCTTCACACGGAGTCTCGCCCCTATTTATACAAGCATTGGTCGAGGGACAGACACAAGTCAAGGGAGGAGTTTCCATTGCTCAGCTTCTCACTGCTCGCTGTTGCTACGCTCTCTAGCAGGTTTTATCATCATCACACTATGGCTCCTCCGGAGGGGACTCCTGCTGCGAACGCTCCAGGCGCTGGTCTTCAAGGCAAGAAGCCAACGGATGTTCGTCCTTAACCGGTCACCCCAAAGACGCTTTTCAATGGGGTGACGGCTCCACGAGGTGACAATGCTATTAACACGCTGACGGCACGTACGTCGGCACTGCGCATTAACGACCTACCAGGGGAGAGCAACGTGACTGGCAGCGATAAGGAGGTTGGCAAGGTGTCGGCCACTCTGCCAGACAATGGAAAGGCTAAGGTTCAGGAAGCGGAGGAAGACTGTGGTTACCTAAGCGACGATCCGGATGAATGTCAGGACCCGGCTGTGCTGAATGAGATCGCGGCGCAAGCAGGAGTCGCCATCACGCTGCTGGTTCCCTTCGCCTAGAGTAAGGAGATCCCGCGCATCATCGGTACGATCTACCACCTGCTGAGGATGTGGGGGAAGCACATGTCGGAGAGCGCAGGGACGACAACAAGGTGTCAGCAGCTCACGGCAACCTTCCTCTCTGAGCAGCATTTCGGCCGTATCGAGGTGGTTTTCCTGCAGGAGTCCGACTCGATGTTCATGCACAGCAGAGAGATTGAACATTACACGGCAAATGAGAAGAAGCTTACACTTGGCTGGTTGCATCCGGAGAATCAAGAGTACCTGAGGGAGTGCGCGGCTCACCCGGAGGCGATCGAGGTGCTGCTTAAAGGGGTTCCGGCGGTGATCTCACCGGCGATGATCAAGTAGAACATGGTGACTGCAGTGCTGTTGAAGCGGGGTCGTACGTCTTTCGTTGACGGATCGGCGTTTCACCGTCTGCTGGATCCGGTTTCAGGGTTAGACACGGACAAGATTAAGGGCCTGGTTTTCAGGCACCCGGGGGATAAGTATAAGTGGTGGCACAAGGTCACTGACTGCATCCATGGTGCTGGTGTCGTTTCCTTCTCTCACTTGTGTTTTCTGCAGCGGAATGCATATGTCATGCTTTCATGATGATTATATTAAGGAGCGGCAAAACAATATCGGAAACTGGAACCTGACGCTGCTGTGCACGCACGAGATCAATGGTAACTCACCTCGTTCTCACCTTGTTTTTCATGTGGTCGCAGTAGCAGATCTCTCGCCTCACCTCTGTACCGTCTCCCCTCCGAGCAGCTGCTTCCATGAAGCTCACACCAGCGGTGAAGATTCTGCTGGCAGATCTGGCGATAGCTTTCGTCTCCACAGGAGGGGTCCGGGAGGAGTGGCTGTGCATGCAGGAGGAGTGCGGGAAGACTTATGGTACCAGTTTCGAAAAGGCAGTGGAGCATGTGCAGTCGATCCGTCATGGCACCGGGCTGCTCAAGGCTGGGGTAGCGACGTGTCTGAGCAAGGGGAAGCAGAACCTGGCGCAAGTCAAGAAGGAGTTCGGGATGTGATTGGCTGGCTGGCTGTGCAGCTGGAGCCGTTGAAGTGTGCTCAGGAAGCGGGAGATGCAGATCCAGATTCAGCACCTGCAAGAAAGGGAGAGGCAGTAGTAGTACATCAGCAGGAGTCAGTATGTGTTGTATCGATCTTATTAAAGCCCGTGGATGCGAGGGGCCTCTTTACAAGTGGATTAATGGGTAACGCACCAAACCTCACCATCGGCGGGGTCAATGTAAACGGCCTTGGCGGTAGCGGCAAAAGAACCCAGAATAGGCGATGGCTGCGCACGACAGCAGACATTATGGTGCTTTCTGACACAAGGATCAAGGAGGATCACAATTTCTGGAGTAAAAATAAACCAAGAGCGTGGGCCGCGGTAGGGCCGAGTCAGGCGGCAAGAGGAGTTGTAGTCATGACGTTCGGCAGACACATCCGGTTTTCAGATGTCACGGCGGACCCGTCGTGGAGACTGCTAGGGGTGACAGTGGAGGGGAGGGGAGGAGCCCTTCAGACTAGTTGCGGCGTATCTCCCGGCGCAGGCCTGCAACAAGGCAAGGTTTCACAAGGAGCACTTAGAGCCTTTTGTGCAATCGCAGCCGCTTTCCAAACACCTGGTGATTGTGGGGGATCTCAACATAGTCGCTGACCCGGAGTTGGACCGGTCGCCGGAAACGTGGTCGGGGAGAGAAATCCAGATGACCTCCGTGACGCTTTCCGCGCTCTGCATCCCACGGACAGAGAATACACCTTCAAGGTGAATGCCACGAAGTCGAAGTCTCGCATTGACAGAGCCTTGGTCTCCATGTCACTACTCGGCAACCTGGAGGGGGCTCGCCACGTGGAGGTGCCGAGAAAGCTGTCGGACCACAGTTTTGCCATCAAGATCCGGCTCAAGTTTGTATCGGAGCATGCGTATGGCCCGGGGCTCTGGAGGTTTCACGCAACGCGGAGGGGGAAAATGGGGGTGAGAAAGATCATACAATCGGTCACGGAGGTGCTCAGCCGATCGGGACAAACATCACTAGAGAGCATGATTTTGAGGCTGACGGTGGGGCTACGTGTGTCAAAATGAATGAAGCAGGAATGGATGAACTAACAGAAAGTTGGGTACAAGTAGGAAACCCTAAGTTTGTGTACCCCCTAAGGTCAAACCCACTACAGCCTACACAACTTAAACATGCAATGTTTGACACACCCCCATAGGCGCAGTGGGAGACAACCAGAGGGTCACGAGACCAGTCAAAGCAAAGCAAAACAAGCTCAGGGTGGATCTCAAGGATACCACACAAATTCCGAGCACAAGCAAGTGGTCACAAGACCAGTTCACATGCAGTTTGATAATATAACAAGAGATACAGTGATCACAACCTAGCAAGTGTAAACATGCAGGTATATATATAGAGATCACAGTACAAGCAGAGTCAAGAAGTAAGCAAGTGAGGTCCAGCAGGCACAAGGCCTAGAAGAGTACAGAAACGCTGATGGTCACAAGGCTGAAGCGCCTTGGTGAACACATCAGCAGTGTTGGCCCGAGTGGCCACGTAACGCAGACGAAGCTGACCGCGCTGCTGCAGCTCTCGAGCAAGGAAGTAGCGCAGAGCGATGTGCTTCGTTCTGTGCTCCAGTCTCTGCTCCTCACACAAGGCAATGGCAGCCTTGTTGTCAACGTACAGCACTGGAGGAGAACGAGGCCGCTCTCCCAAGTCGGTCAGCAGGTAGGTGAGCCAGCGTAGCTCCTGGGCTGCCATGGCTGTGGCGTAGATCTCAGCCTCACAACTGGAGCTGAGAACAGAAGAAGAGCGAGTAGAACGCCAAGAAACTGAACCAGAGCCAAGACTGAAGGTGTAACCCTGAGACGACCGCTGAGTAGCCTGGTCGTCCGCCCAAGAAGCGTCTGAGTGCCCAGTGAGTACAACTCGGTCTCGCCCTCCAAGCACTAGCCCCATGCCCGACGTACTGCACAAGTAGCGCAACACCCTCTTAGCGGCATCCATGTGCTCCTTCCGGTGACGGCCAGGAGCGACATAGCGTGCAAGGATGCTAAGAGGGTATGCAAGGTCAGGTCGAGTGCAGGTCATCAGGTACATGAGGCAGCCCACAAGCTCTGGATACGGGCCATTCGGCTCTACGGACTCATCCGAAGGCAGAGCTGAGAGCGAGTGACCGGTAGGCAGAGGAGTGGGCTGAGGCGAGGAGTACGTGAAGCGGAAGCGCTGAAGGACCTGCTGCACCATGTGTGACTGAGTCAAGGTGATGGTGCGCCGTGCTCTGTCCCGGGTGATCCGCAAGCTAAGATAGCTTGTCAGTTCACCCAGGTCTGTGCACGTGTGTCTCTTCTGCGGCTCCGACTTCACGTGGGCGAGTGCCTCAGTGTCAGCAGTGGCAAAGACCAAGTCGTCGACGTACACGAGGATGTAGAACGGCGGCAGCGAGGTGTCGGTGCGTAGAAACAGTGACGGGTCAGCAGTAGAAGGAGCGAACCCAAGAGCCGCAAGTGTCGTCCTCAGTGTGTCGTGCCACTCACATGGCGCCTGGCGGAGACCGTAGACCGGCCGCCGGAGGCTCCACTGGGTACCAGGAGGAAACGACCCAGTGAAGCCAGGAGGGCGGCGCAGCCAGATCTCCTTGTGCAGGCTGCCCTGCAAGAAAGCAGTGCTGAAGTCAAGTGAGTGAAGCTCGTAGTCGCGCTGAGCGGCTATGTGCAGCAGCACCCGAAGAGTAGTCATCTTCAGGGTGGGGGAGAACCCTCTCGCTGACTGAAGCCTCGAGCAACGTAGCGCGCCTTGAAGACAGGAGGAGAACCCGGCGGCCGCTTCACCCTGAAAGTCCACATGCCACTGACGATGTTCGCCCCAGGTGGGGGAACCTCGTCGACGTAGGTGCCTGTGGACTTCCAGGAAGCCATCTCTGCGTCCATGGCTGTCTGCCACTGAGAGGATTAGGGACCCGCCATCGCCTCTGCGTAAGAGCGCGGAGTCGGGATGTCTGGTGCATCCGGGTCTCCCTCAGGGGCAACTAGCATGGACACGAGATGGGGCAAAGCAGCAGCAAAGCACTGGAACTCCTCCTGCCTGTCGTCAAGGACGTCCGTGCCAAGAGCACACTCACCCTCGACGGACGGAGGACAGACAGACTCAGACTCAGCAACAAGGCTAGCGGCGTAGTCTAGACGACACGTGGCAGCAAAGTCAACCAACTCAGCGACCAGTGCAGCCGCAGCAGAGGACTGAAAGGTAGGGTCAGTGACAACAGTGGCGAGGAGACGCGTGACAGTGGGACGGGCAGCACGAATGGAGTCAGACTTTGGGTCAGAAAGAGTAGGAAGAGAGGACGCAGGAGGAGACGGCAGAGGGACACGCTGAGGAGCAGTGGAGGGACGCAGAGTCATGTAGTGAGTGCCAGGGACAGGAGGAGGACGCTCACGCGGGACACGACGACCAGTGCGAGCAGCACGAACAGGCGACGCAGAGCGAGACGCAGGCGACACAGGACGAGACTCAGGCTCACGACGCTCCGTAAGACCTCCTGTGGGACCAGTGTAAGGAGAAGGACCAGGGAGAGGCGAGGCAGGCGGTAACTGTGACTGCGACTGGACAGGCGGAGGACACTCTAAGGAGGGAGGAGGACAAGGAGGAGGAGTCTGACCAAGAACCTGCTGAAGGAGCGGCACGAAGTACGGTCGCGGCCGCGCAGCGTCTCCAGAACCAGCAGAGACACCAGCGCCAGGGTCCTCAGCACCAGCAGCAGCTCCAACTCCCGGGTCCGGAGCACCAGCAGCAGCTCCAACGTCCGGGTCCGCAGCACCAGTCACGGCTCCAACTCCAGGGTCCGCAGCACCAGCAGCAGCTCCAACTCCAGGGTCCGCAGCACCAGCAGCAGCTCCAACGCCCAGGTCCTCAGCACCAGCCACAGCTCCAACTCCAGGGTCCGCAGCACCAGCAGCAGCTCCAACTCCAGGGTCCGCAGCACCAGCAGCACCTCCAGCAGCACCAGCAGCACCACCAGTAGCGCTAGCAGCACCGCCAGCAGCAGCACCGCCAGCAGCCCCAGCACCAGCAGTAGGTCCAGGACCAGCAGCACCTCCAGGAGCACCAGCAGCACCGCCATCAGCAGCAGCACCTGCAGCACCAGGGTCCGCGACACCAGGAGCGCCACTCCGAAGACTGCAGCGTCGCGTGTACCACTCTCGGATCCGCTGAAGGGAGGGCAGCTCCCGTCTAGGAGGGGAAGCACTAGTACCAGCTCCAGCAGCACTCCTGGCTCCAGAAGCACCTCTCCTGAGGCTGCAGTACTGTAAGTACCTCTCCTGCAGCTGCTGTGAGGAGAGGGCTCCTCCAGGTGGAGCACTCCCAGGCTCAGCACCTCCAGACTCAGCACCCCCAGACTCAGTACCCCCAGACTCCGCACCCCCAGGCTCAGCACCCCCAGACTCCGCAACCCCAGGCTCAGCACCCCCAGGCTCCACACCCCCAGGCTCCGCACGCTCAGACTCAGCACCCCTAGCAGGACGAGAGTCGACAGCTACCTCGACAGGCTCAACCGGGTCTACCTGAGACACACCTGAGGGAGCGGCACCCTGAGGGGGGAGGGGGTCTAGCACAGCAGCACCTGGAGCGAGGAAGAGAGGCGGGGGGGGGGAGTGGGGCAGTGCAGTAGGGGAAGAGGCGGTAGTAGGGGACGGACTCGTCAAAAGTGACGTCGTCAAAAGTGACGTCCTGAGAGGGCAGGACACGGCGCGAGGTGGCGTGGTAAAACTGCCAACCAGACGCGTCCGGGACAAAGCCAAGGAAGACACAAGGAACAGCGCGGGAGGAGAGCTTGTCCGCGGACGTATCGCGAACAAAAGCTCGAGATCCCCAGACCCGAAAACGCGACGCATCTCCAACCTCTCCCGTCCAACGCAGTGTCGGGGAAGTCTCCGGCAAGGAGACATGGGGCCAGAGGTTGAGCTGATGCGCAGCGTATCGGACCGCAAACGGCCACAGAAAGTGGGGGGCAGCCGCATGGATCAAGGAGGTACAAGCGACCTCCATGACCAAGCCAATGCGGCGCTCAGCAACCCCATTCTGCTGTGGAGAGGCCGGAAGCGTGAACGACTGCTCAATGCCGTGCTCCGCACAGTAGGCTGCCAAGAGGTCGGAGGCGAACTCACCACCTCTGTCAGAGTGCAAACGCAGGACAGGAAAGTCCGAGTGGAAACGCTCGCTGAGCTGGAGACGAGAAGCGCGGATCCAAGGGATCAAGACATCAGGAACCTCACCCTTGGTGCGGGGGAAGACCGTGGTGTAGCGCGAGTAGTCGTCAACAACGATCAGGAAGTACCTCTCCTGACCCTGTTTACGGACGCGGGCTGGGCCCCACACGTCCATGTGGAGCGTCTGCAAGGGAGCAGTCGTCGGGGGAAACGAGGAGTGAGGAGCGGCGCGCTGCCGCCCCTCGACACAGGGAAGACAGGGAGGAGCAGGCGAGGGTGGGAGGGGAGGGAGAACCCTGGGAAGACCAGAGACAAGGTACCGTTTGTGCATGGCACGAAGGCGCTGCACAGACGGGTGACCAAGTCGGTGGTGCCAGAGGACGGTCTCGTGCGCCAGAGAGCGACACGAGCAGGGGGCCGACAGCTGACCTGACGCAGACGCAGACGCAGACGCAGCTACCTGAGGGGACTCAGTGGTCAGTGTGTACAGGTCCGACCCCGGCTGCCGAGTGAAGGTAGCCAGGTGACGGCCCGTCCGAGCACACGTGCAGTGTGTCACGCGCTCGTAGGCAGGGGTGAACTGGTGAACACCCCCGTCCTGGAGCGCACAACCCGCCACCAAGTTCGTAGAGAACGAGGGGAGGTAGAGACCGGACAGTGTGCCCGACGGGACCGCAGGACAAGGAAGGACAGTGGAGGAGGTCGCAATGACCGGACCCCCAGAGGGGTCAGCGAGGGAGACAGCAACTGGCCGAGCCAGCGGCTCAAGGACAGTGCGGTCACGAAAGAAACAGCGAGAAGCACCTGAGTCCAGTGTGAAGGTGTGCAGTGCCTCAGTCGACTCAGTACCAGGGGGCACAGACTCACGAGCACCTAGAGCAGCAGCCTCACCAGCACCTGGGGTAGCAGACACGCGAGTACCTGGAGTGGCAGTCTCACTAGCACCTAGAGCGGCAGCCTCACTGGTCCGAATGCCCGGGTCGGGCGGAACACACAGGTACTGAGCACCCTCTCCACTAGTAGACATCACATACATGGCAGTGAGAATAGCATCAAAGTCTAGAGCATAGATATCAACTCCCTTCTTCATCAGATCAAACCAGCGGGGCAGCTCAGTGGCATCAGGGAACTGAGTACGCCAGGCGTCGTCGAGGCGAGAGAAGCAGCGCTGCGTGGTGTGCGCCCTCCCACACGTCTGACCAGTGCGGTCACCAGTGCGGATGACGTACGTGCAGCTAAGCCCACCCCCCCCCCCCCCCCGTGCTGAGAGTACCACTCACGGGCCTCCTGGGGTGACGGAGTGTGCTGCTGGCTCTGGCCACTGCCAGCGCCTCCACGACCACCACCGCCGCCGCCACCTCCTCGACCACCCCCTCCCCTGCCGCTGCCGCCGCGACCACCGCCGCCCCCACCACCGCCCCCGCCCCTGCCACCTCCCCCGCCGCTGCCGCCACCACCCCCACCGCTGCCACTAGTCCCTCCAGCCCCACCACCACCCCCACCGCCGCCACCGCCTCCACCACCGCCTCCCCCGCCGTCACCTCCGCCTCCCTTGCCCCCTTTGCCCCTGCGGCGCCCGCTCGAAGCAGACGCAGTCCCGACCTTCTCAGCACCAAGGAGGTCGACAGCAGAAGCAGAGGCTACAGAGGGAAGAAGGGGGGAAGGGGAACACCCCTCAAAGAAAGGGGTGCGGGGGTCGCCACGAGAGGCACCTACAGCGACTATGCTAGCCTCAGCTGCAAGTAGTTCCTTCTCGAGGAGGGCAATGGTGAGCTCAGTGGGGCAGCGAGCTAGGAAGTGATCCCTGACTGCACGCAGAGAGTCAGGGAGGCGGGTGACTAGGTGGTAGAGAGTGAGCCAGAGCGGGGGGGGGTTCTTAGCAAGGAACTCATCGGGCATAGCGGCACGGAAGCGGGCCTCACTAGTACGGAGGTGCGTGATGAGGTCAGCAACTGTGTGAAAAGAGGCCAGGTCGGGGAACAGGTAGGGGAGTGAGAGACGGCCTAGTGCGGCAGAGGCAGGTGAGGAGTAGCGGGCAACGACAGCAGTGTACAGGTCCTGTGGAGTCTTGTGCTGGCCAAAGTGCTCGCGCTCATCTATCGGCAGGGAGTTGCGAATAGCAAAGCGAGCGTGGGCGTCACGAGTCTGCCACTGTGAGCGGGCAGCGCTGTCAGCAGTAGCAGCAGGGGCAGTAGCATGGCCTCAGGCGTGATCGTACAGTGAGATGTCCTCCTTGGCAGTGAGCTGTAGGAAGAGGTGCAGGTCATCTAGCCAGGTGTCAAACTTCACTGGGCGGCCCTCGGCATCGAAAGCTAGCACAGGAGGGCTAGCCATAGTAGCAGTAGGAGCAGCAGTAGTAGTAGTAGGTGCACCCTAACAGCAGTAGGCAGCGCGACTCAGGTAGGGCGGCTCGGTCCAGAGAGGCTGTTCAGTACGGGCGGCGCGGCTCGGTTCAGGTAGGGCGGCGCGGCTCGGTTAGGGCGGCATGGCTCGGTTCGGGCTGCGCGGCTCGGCTCGGACGGCCTGGTTCTGGCGGGGCCGTGGCTGTCGCGTGCAGGGCGGTAAGGGGCGGCAGGTGGGGTCGACGGGGCCGCTAAGGCGTAGGTGCGCGCGGGGTCGACGGGGCCGACGGGGCCGCTAAGGGAGGCGCGCGGGGTCGACGGGGCCAGCGGGGCCTCTAAGCGGGGCGCACGTGGGGTCGACGGGGCCAGCGGGGCCTCTGGGTGGGGCGTGCGTGGGGTCGACGGGCCAACGGGGCCTCTAAGCGGGGTGCGCGCGGGGGCAACGGGCCAACGGGGCCTCTAAGCGGGGCGCGCGCGGGGTCGACGGGGCCAGCGGGGCCTCTAAGGGGCGGCGCGCGGGGTCGACGGGGCCTTAAGGGGCGGCGCGCGGGTCGCTAAGGGGCGGCGCGCAGGGTCGACGGGGCCTTAAGGGGCCGTGAAAGAGAGGCGCACGAGGGCGCTGGGGGGGAGGCGCTAGGGAGCGCTCCGACAGTAGGGCGCACGAAGGCGCTAGTAGGCAGTCAGTAGTGGTGGGCCCGAAAAAAAAATTAGGTCCTAGCGAAGGACCTGCTCTGAAACCATGTCAAAATGAATGAAGCAGGAATGGATGAACTAACAGAAAGTTGGGTACAAGTAGGAAACCCTAAGTTTGTGTACCCCCTAAGGTCAAACCCACTACAGCCTACACAACTTAAACATGCAATGTTTGACAACGCGCGCATGAGAAGGAGGAGAGGAAGAGAGTGGCGGCGACGCAGCTGCATCTAATAGAGGAGGTTGAGCGGTTGCGTCATTTGGTCATGGGAGGACCGACAGATGACAGAGTGAAAGCGTTGCTGCTCACCAGGGAGGAGTAGTTAGAAGCCTACCGTGAGAATGAGCGAGAGAGGCTGGATGTCTTTGCGGGACTCACGGAAGAACTGCAAGGAAAGGTCTCGTCGCCATTCCTGTCAGCTAAGGTTAAAATGAGGAAGGAGCGCATGGTGATTGAGGAAGTGCAATTCAAGGGGGAGAGATGCAGGGGGTCACAAGCGGTGCTCATGGCAGCGTCGTCTCATTTGGCAGAAGCCTTCAAAGAGGACCAGTCAGGGCCACGGTTGGAGCACGACGACTTTGTAGTAGACAGGGTGATGCCGGTGGAGGCAGTGGTCAAGCTCGGAGCCCCGTGGACAGAGCAGGAGGTGAAGGAGGCGTTGGAAGGGCTGCCAAAGGGGAAGTCGCCAGGGCAGGACGGGCTCCCGGCGGAGCTTTTTGCGACACACTGGGACCTGTTGGGGGGGGGCTTTCATGAAGTTTGTCGAAGACTTCGAAATGACGGGAGAGCTACCGGAGGCGCTGACAACGACGGTGACGGTCCTGCTGCTCAAGAAGGGGGAGAAAGACCTGTTGACTAACTACAGGCCGATCACAGTTCTTACGACGGTATACAAGGTGCTGGCAAAGGTCTTGGCGAACAGGCTGAAACAAGAGCTGCACCACATAATCTCAAAAGAGCAGCACGGGTTCATACCGGGACGCAACCTGGCAGATGCGGTGGCGCTGGTAGCAGACGCGATAGAAGCGGCAGATTCTGATGGGGAGGATCGATACCTCTTGCTGGCGGATTTCCAGAAGGCATACGACACAATGTCGCGGCCTTTTCTCTTCAAGACGCTTGAGAAACTTGGGTTGCCGGTACAATTCGTCAAGTGGACAAAGGGCCTGCACAAGGGCTCAGGGACCAGAATGGCAATCAACGGCTGGTTAGGCGAGCGGGTGGAGATGCAGAGAGGTGTGAGACAGGGGTGCCCCTTAGCACCTTACCTCTTCCTCTGCGCTCTGGAGCCACTCTGCGCGGAGATCAGGAGAAGAGATCTGGGAGTCAAGGCAGAAGGCGGAGAGGCGGTGTCGTACGTAGGGTATGCGGACGACACCTCTCTGATCCTCAGGGGAGAAGCTCAGCTGCACTCCGCGGCGGAGGCTCTCGACTGGTTCGGAGAGTTGTCGGGCCTGCACATTAACCGGGACAAATCAATAGCCATGCCGTCGGGGAGGAACAAAGGCAAAACGACATTACCGGGGGTGATGTTCAAGTGGGCGGAGGCAGGGGTTCCAGAGCGACTACTGGGTGTCTGGGTGACGCCGGACGGGGATGCTGCACCTTCCTGGGAGAAAGCATGGGAAAGGGGGAGGAAAGAGCTTGCTAAGTGGGAAAGCCATCACCTGCTGACGGCGGCAAGGGTGACAGTTATCAACAACTTCATTATGCCTATTCTTCTTTTTCAGGCGCAGATCTACCCGCCGCCAGAGGAGCTGTGGGCGAAAATTCGCAAGACATGCGACAATTATGTCTCGAAAGGGGAAGTGATGGCAGAGAAATTTTTCGTCCTCTGGAGCGGAGAGTTAGCCCGTCTGCCAAAAAAGGAGGGTGGGCTGGGGTTAATTGATCCGAAGGAGCGGATTGACAGCCTGGCGATACGCCAAGTGGGGAAATTTCTGACGGAGAGGGATGTCACTAAGCGGTAGTTGTCGGAGAAGGCGGCGGTGTTACCGCAAGGGGTGGCGACCTTCTTCGCCCACAAGACCACTGGCAGGCACTAGGAAAAGGGCAGTAAGAGGTGGAAGGCGATAGATGAAGTCTTATGGGAGTCCCCATTTGCGGATCTTCCAGCGCCATCCAATGGTTGGGAAGCCGAGCGAGAGCTGCTCTGTTTCAACCGACGCATCATGTTCCGGGGGGGGGGGAGCCCGTTCGGGAACCGGCAGGGGGCAACAGGGATCCGGACAACCAGACTCGGTGATCTGTTCGTTACCAGGGAAGACGGCAGCAGAGAAGTTAAGGATGTTAAGGAGCTAACGGAGGACTTTGGCAGTGTGGCATCGGCAAGATGGGCGAGAAAAGCATACGAGGCGATCCCGGCTGAGTGGAAGGCGTTGTTGACTCTGCAGAAATCAGCAGGGGCAGTGGTGGCGGCAGCAAAGGTGATACGTACGGTCCTGGCACAAACGCAAAAGTTCCTATACTGGACAGTGCGAGGGGTTGAAAACGGAGAAGTGGCTACTGACCATCTGGAATGCCCCGACGGCACAAACCTGGTGGCACCGCAGAGGCCTTACGCGGTCTCCTTCCCCGTTAAAAGTGTGGCGCCGGTGGCGGTCAAAGGAGGCAAAGTGCTAGGTGCGATGGGCGAGCCGAGGGTAAAGCTGTGTCAGACCTCGCTAGTGGGAGAAGACTTGAGGCCGGCAGCACCAAAGGCGATAAGGAGGGGGCTGGCGGGGCCGGTGACGGCGTCGAGGCGTAGGCATGAGTCGGAAGAGGAGTGGGTAAACAAGATTGATTGGAAGGTGGTAAGGGAGAGAAGAGACGCACTGGCGATCCCGTAAAGAGCGAGGGATGTGGTGTTGAGGATGCACAGCAAGAACCTACAGGTGGGGGAGAGGCTGGTGTTCCTCGGAGCCAGGGGATGTTGTCCGCACTGTGGAGAGCCAAAAACCCTAGCTCACTGCATGCTCACCTACCCAGTCATCCAGCCGGTGATTGGTGCACTGCTGAGGTCGCTGAGAATCATGAACCCGGCGGATCAGACGAGGTCGCTAGGCGACATGTTGTTTCAGGAGGGGGCCACGAAATCCGGATTTCCGGGGGCGACGTTGACAGCGGTGACGATGCGCAGGATTTGGTTGGCCAGAGTGGATGCCGTTTACCGGAAAGAAAAGTTCCAAAGGAAGAAGGTGGCACGGGCCGCAATATATGACTTCATGCGGCATGCGAGGCTCTACAGGGCGGAAAAGTTGAGAAAAACAGCAGGAGGGGGGTCAAAGGCCAACCGCGAGACCCGTGGGGGGGCCTGGCAGGAGACAAACGAGTGGCGATTGCGAGGATCTGCGAGGCAGGAGAGCAGGCCACGTGGAAGGTAGACGTTCTATTTATATGGCAGAACCCCAAGACCTTCCATCGTCCACCATAGGCAAACACAGGGGGGCGGCGCCGGAGTCCTTTGACTGTGGTTAGCTAGTTTCCCTCTAAAATTCAGTTACGACAGTGAATGTATTTGCATTGGAATAGTGCAAACTCGTTCTCCAAAAAAAAAAAAAAAAAAAAAAAAAAAAGCAGACACCTAAAGCTAACTGCTGTCCAAGTTTCAGCTTCGTATATTAGCGGAGCTGATCTTGATGGCGTTTAAAAAAGAGGCGGTTTGAAGTCGTCAGGTTCTGCTTAGGCGGTTTCATGGGCATCCGCGACCCCTAAGTGGACTCTAGACTATAATAAGGGAAGCAACCATTGCCACGCAAGCGGGTTTCTACCGTGAAAAAGGATGCGGATGTTCTGACTGACGACGGCACCATCGGCGGCAAAGAAGATCCTGGGCGAGGGAGCGTGAGTCTTGCAGTCCGATTGGCAGAGAGAGAGGGCTCGGCGACAGGGGGAAACCACAGCGACGCTCCCCGCGACGAGCATGCCACAACCGTGGAGTCCGAGGCGGAGGCATCGCAGCACCATCTGACGCTGCTCCAGTCGACTGTGGTCGAAATTTCTGCTGCCGTGGTATATAAGGAGGCTGGGGTGCACGATTCTATGGAGGAGCCTAAACACGGCATCGCCGACGTCGGTGGCTCACCTCCTTCTGGTGGACGTGGGAGGCGTAGGCAGAGGAAGAGTGATGGGGAGGAAGAATATGACACCGCCGATGCCGGGAACATCACTACACGGGCGAAGAGGCGGCAGACGACAGGCAGTGGTGACGACGCCGGTGGTGCTGAAGTTGGGACAACGCGAGGCGCCAGGGAAGCAAGTGACAAGGCGATGGGTCGTGCATTGCGCCAGAAGGGCCGACCCGAAGCAAGGAAAACATCCAGCGGAAGGAGAGGCAAGCAAGCAGCGAGGGGGAAGAGGCCGAAACGCAGTGAAGAAGACCCTGATGATGCGGAGGAGGAGGATGAGGGGGATGAGGGGGATGAGGATGAGGAGGCTGATGAGGAGGAGAATGAGGAGGAAGAGGAGGATGAGGAGGATGCGGAGGAGGAGGACGCGGATGTTGGGGAGGAGGAATAAGATGAGGATGATGAGGAGGAGGACGAAGATGAGGAGGAGGAGGAGGAAGACGAGGAGGGGGACGAGGAGGATGTGGAGGACGAAGATGAGGAGGAGGAGGAGGAGGAGGAGGAGGAGGAGGAGGAGGAGGAGGAGGAGGAGGAGGAGGAGGAGGAGGAGGAGAAGGAGGAGGAGGAGGAGGAGGAGGAGGAGGAGGAGGAGAGGACGAGGACGAGGAGGAGGAGGAGGAGGAGGAGGAGGAGGAGGAGGAGGAGGAGGAGGAGGAGGAGGAGGAGGAGGAGGAGGAGGAGGAGGAGGAGGAGGGGGGAAGAAGGGGGTTGTGGCGGCAGTGAAAGGAGGGGCGTGCGAGGCAGACGGGGGAGGGGGGGAGTGGTACAGGGAAGGGGGGGGGGGGGGGGGGGGGGGGGAACTCGTCGTTCCCGAAAACGCGGGGCAGTTGACGCACCGCGTGGCGAAGCAGTGGGGAAATCGAAGGCACGTAAAGTGAAGGTCGAAACTGAAGGGGGTGGTAAAAAGCAAGGTAGACAGGGAGCATAAGGGGATGGAGAAGGAAAGGGTGGCCGCGCCAAAGGGGTTTCTGTAGGTTCGGCCAAGAAAGAACCTGCCGGTAAACGTCACAACAACCGCCAAAGCACTCCGCGGAAAGGTGGCAACGAGAAGGCGCAGGCAGCTAAACCGAAGGGACAGCAGCGAGGTAAGCACTGTGGCACATACACATGGCATGGCTGTCGCACTTTGTGCTAAATCGTGACTATTAACACCATTCTTCACATTGTTTTCCCCCTGCAAGGAAGGAGAAGGTCGACGAATGTGCAAAGCACGGTAAGACCTGTTTCTACAAAACAGTACCATGCTAAACCCGAGTTAGATTCAAGTGGCTACTCGTTTGCATGCATGTGTGCCCCTGTATTGAACGTAATTGACTCCAACTCTGTGCTCATGCTCCCTATAACTCTCAGCCCCTCATGTTACAGACATTGGGCCATCGGTAAGCGTGCAATGGATGCAGCTAACGAAGGGGGCCGGAAGAGCGAGTGTTACCCCGCTATCCGCAGGAGCCTCGCGGTTCTTCACGCCATACTCCGGCCCGTCTAAAGTCGCTGCTACAGCACCTGGCACACCAAGAGGAGAGGATGTCGTATCCCCTACACAAGGCCACGTCACGCACTCCCCACTCCCCTCACCCTCATACCCATATCGGCAGCTCCACGCTTCTCCTGTCCGAGGCAGGGTGGTCTCCCCCCTTGCCGGTCCTTCGCACGCGATCAGCTAAGCACTTCTGCAAATCCCTTCCCTGAGCTGCCCTTTCCCCACCAGCGTGATAGTGTGAGTGCACGCGGGACTGCTGCAGAAGACATTGATCCCCTTGGCCAGAGGGGGGATTTTTCACACCCTGTTTCCAATCTCATGGGTGCCCTAGGGGAAAGTGCGGAGCACGAGCAGTTTGTTACACGGGAGGAGTTCCAGGCGCTACGGGCTGAGATGTACACCATGTTTGCTCAGCTCGGCCTGCGTCGTGGAGCAACTGCCAGCTATGCCGGGGGGTCCGCAGTGGTGCCTATGGCTGGTACCCCACAACCGATGAGTGCCATGGACAAGGCACGAGTGCTAGTGTTGCAGGAGACAAACCCATTCCCGGTACGTGGCGAGCCAAATGGGGCGGGTTGGGGTTGACGTGGCAACCACGGCGGGGTCGGAGATGACGTGGCGGTTTGAAAGGGTACAAGGGAGCGGCGCACGGCGTTTTAGGTGGGTTGGGGGTGACGTGGCTTGTGGTAGGAGGGGGGTGACGTGGCTAGTGGGACGGGTTGTTGGTGGACGTGGCGGATGCAGGAGGGTATGACGTGGCGGAAGGTGAGGGTTGGGGATGACGTGGCGGTTTCGAAGGGTACACGGGAGCAGCGCATGACGGGGCGAGGAGTTACAGGTGGGTGGGGGGTAACGTGGCTTGTGGTAGGGGGGGTGACGTTGCAAGTGGGGCGGGTTGTTGGTGGACGTGGCGGATGCAGGAGGGTATGACGTGGTGGAAGGTGAGGGTTGGGGATGACGTGGCAGTTTGAAAGGGTACACGGGAGCGGCGCATGATGGGGTGAGGCGTTTCAGGTGAATGGGGGGTGACGTGGCTTGTGGTAGGGGGGGGGGTGACGTGGCAAGTGGGGCGGGTTGTTGGTGGACGTGGCGGATGCAGGAGGGTGTGACGGAGCAAGTTCGTGTTGCTAATCACCATCCCGTGGTCATGCGGCCACAAACATAACAGCTGGTTTCTCTCACCCATGCCGTGTTGTATACCCTACACCCCTGCACAGAACAAAGCCTACTTAGTGACCTCTCAGCTCAAGTTCCTGAACCTGCCGGAAAAAATCCAGCACTACCCTGCACCGAAGGAAATGTTCGAAGCGTTCTCTGTCCACTTGTCTGCAGAAGGGCTCGAGTCAATGAAGCTGTTGTGGTTGCACAATGACAAGTCAACCATGGGAGTCTTCAACCACCAAATATCATCAACAAGGTCAACAATCAACTCCACCCTTAAGCCAGCAGCATACACCGGCATGGGCCTTGCCGATTTCAGCCATCTCGTGGATAGCCTGCTCACTGAGCTACAACCAAAGAGGTGGTTCAATGACGAGCAATTTGTAGCCGAATACAGAGATGGTATGTGCAACTCGAAAAGACCATATGCCCCACCATATGCCAGTTGGCAGCTACATATCACCGTGCGATATGGCTCATCTGGACTCTCATCCCCCCACTTCATTTCTCTGCACCCCCTTTCCAACCCATACGCTCCCTCCCTACCGAAATGCAGAACAGTGGGCCCTCAACTGGCACTTTGACAAGGCCAATAGGACGCCCTTCAGCAACCCCTTGTTCGCTTATGCGTTCAAGCTCTCCTTCAAGAGGGGCGGGGTCGTGTTCACCAAGTTCAAGAGCCGCATGGTGGCATGGGGCCTGTTTTCGGTAAGGATGTAGATATGTGTATATACCCCCATGCCTCATCCCCTTAACCTTTGCCTGTTAATGGTTTTTGTGAACCGGAAATATAAATGTATCTTTGAAATGCTCAAAATAAAAAAGGAACAAAACCAGAATAATTTGGTCCCGAATTTGCACCAAAACGGGTTGCACCCGAATGTCATCCTGGAAAGCTCACGTGCCAAATCGGAACTTGTCCCGAGCCAAACCTTGTCACGCGATGTGTCGCGGAGCTCCTTTCAAATCACTCCAACCGTTGGTCCAAATTTGATCCGGGTTTTTTTAAGCGAAGTCAATCGAAATCAAAATTCATTCAAACTTGGCACAGGGTTTTTGTGATGTAGGAGATCCCTAACTAGTGGCACAAAACGACTGCTGACCCGTCGCTGTTTCTGCGCACCGACACTTCGCTGCCGCCGTTCTACATCCTCGTGTACGTCGACGACTTGGTCTTTGCCGCTGCTGACACTGAGGCTCTCGCCCTGGTGAAGTCGGAGCTGCAGAAGAGACACACGTGCACAGACCTGGGTGAGCTGCGCAGTTACCTTGGCTTGCAGATCACCCGGGACAGAGCACGCCGCACCATCACACTGACTCAGTCACACATGGTGCAGCAGGTCCTTCAGCGCTTCAACTTCACCTGGTCCTCGGCACAGTCCACTCCCTCTCAGCTCCACCTTCGGACGAGTCCGTAGAGCCGAGTGGTCCTTACCCAGAGCTAGTGGGCTGCCTCATGTACCTGATGACCTGCACTCGTCCTGACCTTGCGTACCCTCTTGGCCTTCTGGCTCGCTACGTGGCTCCTGGTCGGCACCGAAAGGTGCACATGGATGCTGCTAAGAGGGTACTGCGCTACTTGTGCAGCACATCGGGCATGGGGCTCGTGCTTGGAGGGCGGAGTCCAGTTGTCCTCACTGGGCACTCAGACGCTTCTTGGGTTGACGACCAGGCTACACAGCGGTCGTCACAGGGTTACACGTTCAGCCTTGGCTCCGGCTCTGTTTCTTGGCGTTCTACTCGCTCGTCTTCAGTTCTTACCTCCAGTTGTGAGGCTGAGATCTACGCCACAGCCATGGCTGCACAGGAGTTACGCTGGCTCACCTACCTGCTGACCGACTTGGGAGAGCGGCCTCGTTCTCCTCCAGTTCTGTACGTTGACAACAAGGCCGCCATTGCCTTGTGTCACGAGCACAGACTGGAGCACAGAACGAAGCACATCGCTCTGCGTTACTTCCTGGCTCGAGAGTTGCAGCAGCGAGGTCAGCTTCGTCTTGCTCACGTGGCCACTCGGGCCAACACTACTGATATATTCACCAAGGCACTTCCGTCTGGTGATCATCAGCGCTTTTGTACTTTGTTAGGCCTTGTGCCTATGTTTTCGCACTTGCTGTAGACTTTGCTTGTACTGTGATCTATATATATATACCTGCATGCTTGCTCTTGCTAGGTAATGATCACTGTGCTGTTGTTGCTGCATATATATCTCTGCATGTGAACTGGCCTTGTGGCCCTTTGCTTGCGCTCAGAATGTGTGGTGACGTTGTGATCCACCCTGAGCTTGCTTTGCTTTTCTTGACTGGTCTTGTGACCTCTTGTTCTCCCCCACTTTGCCTATGGGGGTGTGTCAAACATATATGCTGCTTATTGTGTAGGCTGTAGTGGGGTAGCCCATATAAGGGAAAACCCAAATTAGGGTTTTATACTTGTACCCAGCCTGCTGCTAGTCCATCCATTCCTGCTTGCTGTCTTGACACAGCTACCTCATACAACTGGTTCTGCCTTATCGCAAAGCTGCCAAGGCTGTTTTTCATACCCTCTCATGTAGCTTCTTGGTTTCCATTGTCAAACTGAGGAATGAATGATGCATTGATGTTGGTTTGGGGTACATATAACAAACCCTAACTTTTGTACCCCCTAAGACAAACCTCACTACAGGCTACAACATTTGACACACCCCCATAGCCTAAGTGAGGGGTGTCTAGCAAAACCAAAAGAGTACGGTCATAAGACCAGTCACAAAGAAACAAAGCTCATGGTGAATCACAACATCACCACACACCGTGAGCACAAGCAACAGTGGCCACAAGGCCAGTCCAAGCAATAACAGAGATATATAGAAAGTGTACAAGCAAAGCAAACAGTGAACTCAAGACTAAGTAAGACGAGAACCAGTGTCAACAAGGCCTAACTGCACACAGCACCTCTGGTGGTCACAAGGCGGAAGCGCCTTGGTGAAGATGTCTGCAGTGTTAGCCTCGGACTCCACAAACTCGATGCGAGCCTGTCCTCGTCTCTGCAACACACGCAGAAGGAAGTACCTGACGTTAATGTGCTTCACTCTGCTCTCTAGTCGCGGCTC